AATCAGAAAAACTTATATAAAACGTAACCTTCATTTCCAAACATTTCTTTTCCTATTTTTGCTTTTGTTGTGAAATGTTTTTTAGTTTTTTATTGTTGTTGTTGTTGTTGTTGTTGTGATAGCATTTGCAATATTATAGTGTAGTAATACTAATAGTACAACATTTGCCACCTAAGTTTAACTATTAAAAAACTTATCTATCTTTCATTTTTTTGTTGTTGTTGTAAACTTTATATGAAATATAAACTTTTTTTTATCATTTGTGACTATTTGTGTATATCAAATGCTTAGTTAAGTTATTATATATATAAAAAAAAGATTTTTTAATATTAATATTTTTTCCATAAAACCCATAGATTTTTATTATGTAAAATAATAAAATAATTGTACAAAAATTATTATAATACATAAATTCATAAAAAATATATTTAGTCAACCATTTATTATATATATAATGTTTTGTTCACAACACAAAAGTTAATGAAATATTTTATTGTTATTTTCATATATAAAACAATATTTTTGTTTTGTTACTACACTTTTCTTTTGTAGTATCGAGTCTTTTAACTAATTTTTAAAAAAAATTTATTTGTGTAAACATTCAAATGATAAAACACATAACACAAAATTTTATAATAAATAAAATACATTTGAATGAACAACAAAAAATTTATTCAACAAATAGAGGTTTGGGTAGAAATAAAAATGTTTTGATTTCTCTATTTATGAATTCTTGATATCATAATAAATACAACAAAGTTCAGTATATATCATATATACTTGTATTAAATTATATAAATGTTATTATTATATTCAATATACAGTACACTATAATAATATTTTGCATTAAATTTTGTATTCAAAAGGCGTGAATACTGACTGTCATTAAAAAAGCTGTGCCTTTATTTAGAGAAAAGGAGTTGTAAGGCATTTATAAGATATAACTAAAAAAATTATTTATTTTTTGTAGATTTAATTTTTTTTTATTATTCTGTATAACATATATTATTATTATTATTATTGTTATATAATATTATTCAGACCCATCACCAAAAAAAGTTATTGTTTATCTTTGAAATACCGTACGACATGAATATTATTATTATTATTGGTGTACCAAATATATACTGTATATACTGTATATGGCATTACCGTTATATAAGTTCCAAGAAAAAAACATAATAAAAAAATGTCTAAATAAAAAAATAAAAAATATTTTTTTAAATTCAAAAAATGATACTAGCAAAAATAAATTTTTATTTACTCAATTTCCTATGTGTCTAAGCATATAATTGTTAATTTAAATTTTAAAAAAATAATTTATATTTTCATTTCAAATACTTGTGTTGATTTTAAGTTTATCCCATTTTTTGTTTTGTTTTGTTTGTGTCATTTTATTACTGACATAATACTTATAAAAAATGTATCTAATCTTTAAATGATATCGCATTTTACGAGGAAACGCATTGAACACACATTTTTTAGAAAGAGTTGGATATATTTTATCGTAAAATCAAATTTTATTTTTTTTATCCAACAAAAAATCATCTGTTTTACGACTATTATATAGTGGAGAGAAATTCACTAATATTATAATGTATATCTTGTATAATGTATTGAATATTAAAATACAAATATAAATTTATATATATATATATATATATATATATATATATAAACAGTCAAAATTACATCAAAAGATGTCAAACATATTTTTGATTCATTGCATTGATTGTGAAAAATGCGGAACATTTATATCCATAAATATATTATTAATAATATTATAGTAATAATATTAACGTTCATAAAAATATATGCTTATTCTGGGAGACACACCGTTTGTGTACTTAAAATATTTATTTAATTTTAGTATTTAAGAAAATACTACACATTTATGACAAATCTAATAATCTAACGGCAAATCGCATATAAGTTATTGTATAATAATATAATTACAATTGCATAACCCTATATATATATATACATTTGTATGTGATTAAAATTTATTATTATTAACAAATGTTTATACACTCTCTTTTTGAGAAAATTTATATAAAATTTTGTGTTTTCCCATAATTGAAATTGTTGATAACAATGTCATTTAATTTTTATTATTGTACTGTACATAAAAATAACTATTTAATCAGTTTATCAGTTATAAACTTTCGTCCCTCTCTAAAAAGTATACACACTGTATGAGAACCCGATCCCCGAGAATCCCAGTACACAATCACGATAGGACTACCCTCTCAATCAAAATACACACAACTTTAATATATTTAATAATATTATTTATATTACAATATTTTTGTATACATATGTTTATACACATATAAATACTAATAATGCTAATAATATATTTGTGATTCTATCTATCAATCGACGCCCAATCATAGCTTTATTTTGATATATTCACAATAGTGTGAGAAAAATATAATGTTAATAATAATCATTGTAGTTATCAATAATGTAAATAAATTTTTATATAAATAGTAGTGAATGAGTGAGTGAGTGAGTGAGTGAGTGAGTGAGTGAGTGAGTGAGTGAGTGAGTGAGTGAGAGAGAGAGAGAGAGAGAGAGAGAGAGAGAGAGAGAGAGATAACGCAATCATAATTTAAAATTGCGAAAAAATTAAAAGATGACATTTTTATTTTGATTAAATGATAAACAGTTTGAGGGAAAGGTAGGTCATTCATGGGTTTAAGGAAAAACTTGAGTCTTCCACATTCACCACAACTTATTTAAACTTAAATATGTTTATTATTTGTTATTATTCTCTCTCTCTCTCTCTTCTCTCTCTCTCTCTCTCTCTCTCTGTCTCTCTCTCTCTCTCTGTCTCTCTCTCTCTGACATTGAATTTTCAAAAATATCATTTTTCCTGATTATGCTAAACATTAGTGAACTTCTATTTATTCATGATATATACAACACATACATTAATATTATCTTAAATTATAAAAGTTATCATATATTTTATATAAAAAATAAAAATAGTATAGACACTTGATGTTTATTATATATAACACTTTTATGCCATATGTTATAATTTGTATGACTTATAATATATGTTATAATTTAGAGTAATATATAATATTTTAACTATTATATTATATTTTTTTAGTTATCATTATTTATTTTTGTTGATGATTTTATTTTCTAAAATTGATGTCTGTTTTTTGATTTAAAATATCGATAAAATGCTGAAGTGTTAGGTCAACGCCGAGATATGCTATAAAAATTTATGTAAATTAAAAATATTTATAATATTTTTTGTTTTTATTTATAAAGTGTGTGTGTTTTAGTGTGTATATACTGTATACTTGTTTTTTTTGTTTTTGTTATTTGCTGGAGATTTTGTACAACTATTATAATAATACAGTAATAATACAGTATTATTGGTATTAGTTTTTATAAATTTAGTAGAAAACAACAACACATGAAAACATCATAAAATATTAAATATATATATATATAATAAAATATTATGTATATTATTGTGTAAAAACTTTTGTTTAATATGAGATAATAATACATGATTTTAACAAACAAAAAAAAATAACAATAAAATACAATAACAACAAAAATATATATTTTCTTGTAAATATTAACGCTTCTTTATTAGTTAATATATTTATACATTATATCTGATTTTAGAAAAAAAAACTTTTTTTTTGTGTTTAATTTGATTAATAATCATAATTAGTAAAACATTTTTTACGCTCAAAATTTTTGTATATACAGTATAATACATAGACATAGTATACAGTATTATCAAGTAATACAAAAATATTATATTTATGAATTTCAATAATTTTTTCTAGTATTTTATTTTAATAGACATTTTTGTTATTTTTACTTTTGTAATTATTATTATTATAACTTTTATTAATTATTAATAAAACTTACACTTATAATAAAAAGACAATATAACAATCTTATGTATAATTTTCTAATAAATTAAAATCATTTTAACAGATTTTTTTTCTAAACAATATATTTTTTATAATATTAACGTTAATATGCTTTTCAATAGTTGTTATTTTCTTAGATACATAATACGTATACTTATTAATGTTATATATATTATTCTATATATATATGTGTGATAATTAAAACAGTTTTAAAAATATATTTCAAAACAAAACAAAAACAGTATAAACAATCTAAGTTGTCGTAAATTTAGGGAGTGTTTCAAACTTATTTGAAATTTGTTTGTTTTTACCAATACATGCATTTTGCAAAAAACAAAACAAAAATCTATAGTAAATGCATTCATTTAATTATAGACTTTAGTTAGAAGTTTTAGTTTTATTTATTTATATAATATATAATAAATATTTCATACTATAGTTTATAATACGGTAGATCAATATACTGTATATTTCAATTTATATATTTATTTTATTTTAACTGTATTATAGTTTATAATAAATATTTTTCTATTTGCTTAATCAATGATAGCATTTTAGTTGCTATTGAATAGCTTTTTAGTATAAATCTTTATTTATAAACATTGAATATTGTCTATATTGCCATACATACAAAAATTTCATCATTTATAAACATATTAACCAATGTATAGATCATTAGATACTAAGAAAATCAAAGTTAAATGATATGCTATCATAAATAAAACTACATGTGCTGTCCAAATAGGTTTATTGATTAAATATAGTACACATTTGTCTTGTAAATTAAACTTTATATAATACTTTCCATACCTTACCAATAAAGCTAATGTAATATTTAATAGATTTTATCTAACATAACATACATACACACATCCTTAATATATGATATTATAGTATATAATATATTTTTGTAATCAAACAAAAAAACCAATTGTATTATAACAAAAAACAATATCATATTATATCAAAGAAGCTATAATAATAAATATATATTGAGGCAGCCGCCTGATTCTGAGAATCGCGGCGCCAACAATCCTGAGTTGAATGGGTCATAAAAACCCATCTACTCAGGAATGTAGGTCAACTGACCCATACTTAAGGGCAGTGCACATTGCACTGCCCAACACTCACTTTAGATGCCACGTGTGACACACAAAAGCAGTTTTTGAAAAATAAAATAAAGTGTTTAGAAAGAAAAAAGTCTATCTCTTTCGCCGGTTTACGACCAGTGCTCCGCTCCCGTCGTCCGCACCGCTAGCCGCTGGCCGTCCGCTCGCCACGCACGCGATACGCACCACACTCGGTCCCACATTTGGCGCAGTCACGGTAGGATCACCTCGCAATCAATCCATTGTTGGCATTTGTGAAGACAGTAGATGCCATCACCTCCGAACCAACGACCACAAGACGCAGACGAAGACTCCGACAAAGAAAACAAAGACCCGAACCGCGGAAGAGGACGACCACCACCACCACCAACAAGACCTCCAAGAAGAGGACGCCGACACCGTAATCGACGTAACGCCTATACACAGGTATACTCGCCGCATACAACTCTTCCCCGTTAGTGAAACAAAAGCCACACCATACCGCTCCTCCGATCCGGCACTAACACCAACGATATGGCCACAGACGTCACAACGGCCGTAGCTGCAACCACCAATGGTTGTAATAACCGACAACAACTGGCCAAATTCTCCGGTCACAAAACTGTGATCCGTGCAGACCTTTGGTGTAACCTCTTTGAGGTCGTCACCAAAGGTAAGACGGATGCCGACCGCATCCACAGTCTTATGGCCCATGTTGTTGATGACGCCCTCAACTGGTACGCAGCCGACATCGCCCCAAGTATGGATCACTTGAAATGGGCAGATGTAAGGACACTACTCATTGCCCGTTTTGGACCTGCGGCGGCCAACCCACTTGTGGAAGCACAGCATCGGCGTCTGAAGCTTACAGAAAGCGTTCAGACGTACTACGATGACAAGATGCGTCCTCTACGGCAAATCAATTTAGCCGAAGAAGACATCGTGGCTCAACTCACTGAAGGGATGCCGGCCACATATCGAGGGTATCTACTATGCGCTAAGCCAAGCACATCCGTGGCATGGCTAGCCATAGCCCTTCAACTTGAGGCCACAATTCGCCGACAAATACCTCAGCAGCCGAAGGGAGCCAATCCTCGGTTTAGTGGTAGGCCTACGGTACTTACCACAATCCCGGACAAAAGACACACCAGAAAACGTGACGTCCCGCCGACTCCGTGTCGGTTTTGTACAGAAGCTGGCGAGTCTAACTATCACTGGCATCGAGAGTGCCCACGTAGACAGTCTACGCCTCAGGAAAGCCGGAACAACGTCATGGTTTCCACTGATGAGTCGGTGCTCGCCGTCGCGACCCGTACTGGCCCGATAAAGCCGTCCCGAATAGTGGTAACCGTAAACGGCATCAAAGTCCTAGCCTTTGTAGATGGTGGCAGCACTATTGATGTAATGTCGCCGTCGTTGGCAGCGCGGTCGAATGTAAGGCCACGCTCATCCACGGCTATTGTTGTTACCAGACTGGGTGGTCAAACGCGCAGTGCTGGCATGGTCAATGTCGCGTTGAGAATTGGTGACGATACCCGACAAGTCAGCGCTCAGGTCATTGCCGGCTCTCCCTACCCCTACATCATTGGCAAGGCTTCCGGACGCCTATTTGGATTTACCCAAAATTGGGTAACCGATCAGGTGTTTCGGACAACAGCCGAAGGGAAATCGGCCATCTGTTTGGCAACAACAGAAATCACTGGATCTGCACTCAAGCAGAAACAACTGGACTCACTCATCCAGCCGTATAGTCATGTTTTTTCAACATGCAGTACTGATATTGGCCGAGTAAGTGGTACTGCACACGCTATACGGCTACTACCAAACATAGCTCCAATAGCGTTACGGCCGTATCGTCATTCAGAGAAAGATACGGCCGAAGTTCGCAAACAAATTAGCGAACTGATGGCCAAAGGACTCATCAGGGAATCCCTTTCCCCATGGGCCGCACCTGTGACACTGGCTAACAAAAAAGATGGTAGCCGTCGTCTCTGCATTGACTATCGCCGCTTGAACGCCGTGACCATTGACGAACGCCAACCGATGCCAATTGTTCAAGACATCATCGATCGGTTGGCCACGGCTCGTCTATTTTCCGTATTAGACATGGCGTGGGGCTATTGGCATCTCCCAATAGCTCCCGAATCTGTTGAAGTGACAGCGTTTGTCACATCTGATGGCCATTATGAGTGGCTCGTCCTACCATTTGGACTAAAGAACGCTCCGTCAGCTTTTCAAAGACTGGTTCGGAACGTTCTCGGGGACCTCCTATACAAAGGAGTAATCCCATACCTCGACGATATCATTATATACGCCGAGGATGAAGAAAGACATCACCTCCTACTCCGCCGCGTACTTTCTCGCCTATCCGACGCAAACATACGTCTGCGGCGTGAGAAATGTCGATTTGGCCAAAGCGAAGTTGAATACCTTGGATTCACTATAAGCCACGGTCTTCAGCGACCATCTTTGGCAAAGACAGAAGCCGTTTCGTGCTTCCCGACGCCGACATCAGCAAAGGCCATCCAAAGGTTCATCGGATTGGCCAACTGGTATCGACGTTTCGTGCCAGATTTTAGTCGAGTAGCTGAACCACTAACGCGGCTAACCCGAAAAGATGTCGTCTTTGAATGGACGCCGACACAACAAACAGCTTTTGAAGACCTTAAAAAGGCCTTAACTTCTGAGCCGGTGGTAGCCATATACCGACCCGATCGACCGGTGCGCCTACACACCGACGCAAGTTCTATCGGTATAGGTGCCATACTTACCCAAACAGACGATGAAGGCCATCAAAGAGTTGTGGCATATTATTCACGGCGACTTAATTGTCATGAAGAGCGATACAGTGCTTCAGAAGCCGAATGTCTTGCCGTGGTTGAAGCAGTGGAACATTTCCACGTCTATGTCCACGGCAAACACATCGACATCTATAGCGACCATCACGCTCTCCAATGGCTTTTCAGTATCAAAAGTCCTTCAAGTCGCCTCTTTCGTTGGTCCGTCCGCTTATCGGTGTATGATTACACCATACATCACCGAAGCGGACGAAAAAATGAGGCTCCCGATGCCCTATCTCGCTCTCCAATAGTTATGTTTATAACTAATGAAGAGATAAAGGCAGGACAGGAAGGGATGGACACATCTGCCATCAAAAATGTCGGCACAAAGGATGGTTTACTCGTCAACCGGCATCGCGGATTAGCCAGAATACTGGTCCCAAAATCCCTTAGAAGCCGTGTTATCAGTCATTTTCATGACGAACACGGTCACTTCGGGATAGCAAAGACACAGGCTCTCGTTACTGGACATTATTGGTGGCCAACCGTTATTGACGACCTTCGTCAACACGTATTATCGTGTCATACGTGTCAAATGGCTAAAACACCTAACGCGGCGCCATTGGGTCAACTCCAACCGCCACCTACGCCTACCCAGCCAATGGACACTTGGTCTATCGATACGGTGGTTATGGGTTCGTCAGCAGCCAACACTAGCGCAAAGTATATCCAACTTTTAGTGGATAATCACTCGCGCTATGTGTGGGCTTTTGCTACTCCCAAAAACACCACCGCTACGCTGGTAAACATTTTAACCCAAATGTTCAATACAGTTGGGCGGCCAGAAAAGTTGGTTAGTGACAGAGGCACCAACTTGACAGCAAAAGCTTTTCGGCGCTTTCTCTCCGAACGTGGCGTCCGCCACATCATGGCCAGTCCGTACCATCCCCAAGCAAATGGCTTGTGCGAGAAAGCCAATGGTACCATCGTTCGAGGGTTACGGTTGGCGTTGATCGACAACCCTAAACTGCGTTGGTCAACCTTATTGACACGCGTCGTCGACACGTACAACCGGACACCTCATTCCGCTACAGGCTTTACTCCGCGATTTCTCCAATTTGGGCAGCCTGGCGACACTTCTGCTGACCAAACAGAAACGGAGATCGCTCGTGATTTGGCCGTATGCCGCTCCGACGCGCGTAAATCGGCACGGAAACGACATCACGACGCTCATCACGTCCCGTCTGACTTCAAGGACGGGGATTTGGTGGTGCGTCGACTGGCAACTCATCATCCCAGTCGGCACAAACTTTCCCCGGCAAACACTGGCCCGTACATTATACGCCGTCGGTTGGGACCAGAGACGTATCTTCTTGGACTAGCCGCGATACCTGAGTACGAGGCTACAGCCCACGCTTCCCAACTTCTTCGGTTTCACCCGAGAGTTGAAACCAATAACGCCGGGGGAGTGAGGCAGCCGCCTGATTCTGAGAATCGCGGCGCCAACAATCCTGAGTTGAATGGGTCATAAAAACCCATCTACTCAGGAATGTAGGTCAACTGACCCATACTTAAGGGCAGTGCACATTGCACTGCCCAACACTCACTTTAGATGCCACGTGTGACACACAAAAGCAGTTTTTGAAAAATAAAATAAAGTGTTTAGAAAGAAAAAAGTCTATCTCTTTCGCCGGTTTACGACCAGTGCTCCGCTCCCGTCGTCCGCACCGCTAGCCGCTGGCCGTCCGCTCGCCACGCACGCGATACGCACCACACTCGGTCCCACAATATCATATTTAATATATAAGAAATAAGATTTCACAATCAATTACATAACTTATGTTACTATGTTATCCAAATATGTTTTTAAGATAACACAAATCATTTATTGCATTAATATCCGAAACACTATAAGATTGTTAATACTGTAATATAATAAATATATTTATTTTATATTTTTAAATTACTTTTATTTTTTAATATCTTATAATTAACACAAAAAATTATTTAAATATAAATTACGAATTATATTGTTTTTTTTATTTCAATCATTAATTAAGCAATTTATTGATTCTTTATTGTATTAAATACTTATTATTTAATGAGATTCAATATTTATTGCCATAAAAACAAAATACAATGTTATTATAATAGTGTTAAATAATAACCAATAGATAAATTAAACTAAGTATTTAAATAATTGACACTTGATTTATAAAGTATTAATATTATAACCAGTTTATATTGTTATAAAGCTATGCAATTAAAGTACATGTAATTACTTTTGAATATAACATACATTATTGAATAAAACTTATTTTAATTTTTTCTTTATATTATATATTATTGATAATTAATATAATATTATATCACTCGTATTAAACTTAATAAAATTTTACCATTAAATATAACTAATACTTACAATTAAAGTTTGACCAACAAATCGATAGCATAAATGTTTGATTAGATAAAGAAATAATATATGATTTTTATTATCACAAAAATGAACTTGTTTAAAAACACTTTTTTTTGTTAAATAAATAATCATATCTGACAATCAATTGGAATAACAAGTTTTTTTAAATTAAAAAATAAATATAAAGTGTATAAAAAATTAATACTTAACAGATTTAAATAAATTTTATATAAAGATAAACTTTATAGTTTAATTATTGCTTTATATATAATTTTTTAAAAATAAATAAATTCAAGACAAATAATTGATAATTGATCGGAAAAAATTGATATATCAATTCAAATTTTATTTATATTTAATGTTTTTATACATATAACACTAATATAAATTCACATATTTAAATTTTATTTATTTTAAACACTTAAATGGTTATGGTAAGTTTATTATAAATAAATCTAATATCAAATATATTGATTAATCTTTGTAATAGTTTCACAAATTGCACACACAAATCAATTATAATTAAAACTTGTTTCATACACAATATACTGTATTTTTTAATAATTTTATTGTAATATCTATAGTAAACATAATTTTCATAGATTTACTTAAAAATCTATTTATTTATTATTATTATAATTTTATAAAAACTAAACTCTACAGTAATATAATGTCTAACAATAAAGTTTTATAAAATATATCACTCTTTTTCAGTCATACATAACATCTAATTTCTTTGTTTTTATAAAACTCTTTAAACATATATTTTTAAAATTAAAAAAAATATTTAAATAAAAATAAACATTTATTAGATAAAATTGTTTACATATACTCAAACTAAAAATTAACTATTGTTCTCTTATGTTAACAAATAATTAAATTTTTATGATAATATTAATAATTTATTAATCTTTATATAAACTCTAAACTTATAAATAACTTTATATATTTACTGCTATACAAACTTTATAGCATTATACATAATAAAACATCTGTAGTATATATTTTATATATTTGTATATATCTAACAACTAGTGATAATACAAATTAAGGGTTGATTTCAAAGTTAATAATTTAGTAGAGATTGTAATCATTGTCAAGATCTCTCTCTCTCTCTCTCTCTCTCTCTCTCTCTCTCTCTCTCTCTTTATCTTATTTTCATCACTTATTTACTGTTAATATATATAACAGGTATCTGTCATCAATGAGTTCAGCCATAATTAGCCGTTTCCTTTTTCCATGCCTCGATCAATGCCAATGTTGACTGGGTTTCACCTGATATTTATAAATGTCAATAAAAATATATAGATATAAAACATTATAAAGTGTGTTGAGTTTAATCAAATTATTTATATATATTATTATATGTAGAGTATAAGTAGTATGCTTGTAACTGGTAACATGTTATGCATATTTATAGGGAAAGGGATGTTCACATTTTATGAGTACAGTTAGATAATAAGCATCAAAACTAATAAGCGGTTCCTTACTTTGCAAAAGCATTTTCTGTAAGTTGAGGTTCTCTTTGCGCAACCTATGAATACCTGACTCCTGTTTTTTCAACAATGATCTCAATTTAACAATTTCCTGTTGCAGTCTAGCAATACATGTCCACTGGGACTGGTATGCCTCGAGACTCTTATCACGCCAACGCTCCACCTCATCGTCTATGGCTGTCATAACTTCCTGACGGTTCCATTCAGTAGTACCCGGTATCGGCGGATAGTGGCCATCGAAAGGCGGCAAATAGCACATTAGCTCCCGATGACCGTAGGCCAGTGAACGGGGCAACACTTCTCGCCCATTGTCGTCGAGTATGGACTCACGGAAGCGACTGTTGAGTATTATATCGTCAGTGAAATCGTTTTTACGGAAGAACTCAATACTGTCGACGTCGGCCTGTAATACAAGTGCATCGTATGGACCCACTTGTGAGGGACGCTTCAAACGCTACAATTAGTTATGCAAACATAGAAAGAGAGGAATGCCATTAAAAAAGAGGCAAAACATTAACGATTATTATTAAATTAAGGCTTTTTATTTAAAAAATTCACATTAATTAACATTTTAAATATTAAAGATAAATATAGCAGAGAAAAAATTAATTAATTATTATTAATATTAGCTTACTTTCAGTAGAAACCTCCCGATCCCACACCTCCTATAACGGGTGCGCACAGCTATAAACGGAATGCATACTACTTTAACACCGGGAGACCTGAAATATATATATATTGAAAAAAAATTGAAATGAAATATAGTTTATAATAAATATATTCCTTAATTATATATCAATTTTAACGGCTATGACTGGCAAACCATTAATTTTGAATATCATATGATTATCATTATTATTATTATAATTTAGAAAAACATTAAATACATGTGTATATTATTAAACATATTTTTAAACTATTAATAGTATGTAACCTTTATAATTCAAAACATGTAACGCTGGAAAATTTTGTCAAACATATATATAAATAATAAAAATATATACCCCGGGTGTTTTTTGTTTCAAAAAAGTTTTGGGTTAATATTTAATATATATATTATTGGAAAAGAATTAATAAAAATGTTTTCAATTTATTATAAACAAAATATTTATATAATTTTTTTTTGAAGGGAAACCAAAATCAGACTCTTCTTTCATTTATATGATACAAGTTTTATGTAAAAACTGTACATAACATGTCAGTCCTTTTTTAAACTGGATATTATGCCAATTAAATTATAAATATTTTATGCATTTTGATATCCAAAAATTATAATTTTAAATTTTTAGTAAATTAAATAAATAACATATTTATTAAGTGAACTTTTAGTATTATATTATATACTGTATAATATATACAATTATTTACTATTAATTTAGTGCATTTTATTAAATGCCAAAATATTTACTATTATATATTAACAAACTTTTTTCTCTACAAATTGTATTTTTAATAAGTTTATTAAAAAAAATAAAATGTAGGCATAATATATATATATTTAAAAATTAAGCAATAACCTATACTAATCTATAAAATGTTGAGATATTAATTAAGATAACAACAAAAACAAGCTAATTCAATCAAACTAAACAATGTTAATTAATGTAAAAAATGTGATATACTCCTCCTATTGATAGACTAAAAATATATACAAAAAAAAATTATTCACTGAATATATAGTAAAGATTTCAAATAATTTGATAACAAAATAGTGAAACATTTATTTTCAACCAATCTTCGTGTACCTAAACATGATTTATTTTTTTAGATAATAAAAATAGGAAAATACCAGAAAAATAACTATAGTTATTGCAAATAATAAAAATATTAAAATAAATTGGAAATAAAAATACCAAAAAATGATTTTCTATATATAAAAAATTGCATAAATTTTTCTCTCTAAACAAAAACAACTTATTAAATATTAATGGCATTAATAATTCATTTCAAGTATGAGATTGAATAACAATTTTTTATTATATTTTCTCAAACAAAATTTCGGTTGTTTTTGTACTTAAAAATTATATAACATTTTTGCAAAATTTTTATGTAAAAAATCAATCAATTTTTGTTTTTTTGTTGTTGTTTGCGATGTATTACACTATTCGTACATTTTATTCATATATTACTAATGAATTATTAGATTATAATTTAGCAGAAAAATTATATATCTTTTATGTAACGGAAAAAATGTATTAAATAATTATAAGTTATAGCCTTATGGCATATAATTTCAAAATTAACCGATAAATCAATTGATTTGATTTTAATGAAAGGCTTATATTCTGTTATAAAAAGAGCACTTTAAATAAGTTGACTTAATTTATAATTTTATATATTTTTATTATATATATTAATTTAAAAGATATGTCTTAAACAAAAATACTAATATAAAAAATATATTAAAACTAAATAATTTCAAATTATTACTAATTTATACAAAAATAAAAATTCTATTCGTTTGTGTTAAAACAAATAAATTAGATTTTGATAATTAAAAAAGCAATAAAAAGAGATATACTTTTAAAAAATGATAATTTCTTTCGTAATACAAATTATTATTTTATTATAGATAAGATTTTTTTGCATTTTCATGATTAAGAAAATTTTTATTATCATATTTAAGTTGATTTTTGTTTAAACTGATGCTAAATATAATAAAATCTTAATTTAAAAAACAACTCATAAAATTGGGCATAATTTGTGATTAAGACTTAACTATACTTCAATGGCAGAGATGATCAACAAATTAATGGCTAAATGTGTTACATAACTTGGGTTTCGCCCTAAGATCCATCATTTAATGGCTTAATACATACACTCACACAGTATAGCTTAAAATTTGTTAAAAGAGGGAAAAGGAGATAAAAAAGTGGAGATGTTTGACCAATAAATTACATAACTGTAAATACTATGCTATAATATAACTTAATACACATAAAACTATACTTTGTTAACGGGAGTCATATTCACATACCGATAGCTTTTGTAAAACGTAACGCAACCGATAAGCCTGTACTCGATGCCCAACTGTGTCGATGTAATACCGGTGCCGCCGATGTCGGCGCCATTGTTGGCAATATCGCGCATTTGATTGCGCCTCTGGACTACACCCCTGAGGAATGTTTCCATTCCTTTCACAAACTCTTCCCTTTCGTCTTCCTCTTCATTCATACTGTAAAATCAAAGAATTTTTTCAGAAATATTTTTTATTTTTCAAAAAAATTGTATTATATATTATTTATTACCAGAAAAAAATATAAAATCTTAAAAAATAATAAATTTCACAATAAATTAATTGGTTTTCATTTCATTTTTTTCTCATTACACTAAAAAGATTAATATAATTATTAATTTGCTATCAATTAATAATAATAATAATAATAATAATAATATCGATGCATTTGATATATTATATAAATATAAAATATTATACAGTATTTTTATCTAATGTTAGTTTCATACTATCATAAAATATATCATATATTAATACAAATGATCTAAAAATATTTGTTAGACTCATTATGACTGCCAATCACATACCTGTGCTCATCATAATCATCATCAAAGTCATCGTTAAATATATCGGTAATACTGCTAATAGAGTTGTTGTGCTTATTATGGATATTAATATTATTATTGTGGAGAAAGTCTTTATTTTGGGAACTCCTAGACTGCGGTCGACTCCGACTCGTATAGCGATTACAATGAATAACATTATTGTTATTATTGCTATTAATAGTATTATTATTATTATTATTATTATTGTCGCTGATATAGCCATCAGTTGTGCTTATAGGCCGTGTAGTGGTCACCAAATAGTCGTTTAGGATGTCATTTATGGAACGGTATCTATCAATATATATATATATATATAGTATAATATAAAAGTGCAAATTTTCAATTATTTTTTTCAATGCATCTTTTTTTGTTTATACCTGTAATAACTACAGTATAAATACCATAAATACAAGTAGTTATAGTACTATAATAGCATATGATAAAAATGATAAGTTATAATATAACTGTTATATTATATTAAAATTAATAGTCTAACAAAATGTTAACAGGCCATGGTTATTTTTTATATTAGCAAATGTGTTTTTATTAAAGTTGTAAAGTATAGATACTTTATATTTGAAATATTTATATAGAAATATTGCACTAAAATTTAACAATAATCCCTATATAAGGGTCAACACTGACCCTACATTTTATACTTAGATATACATGTGTTTCACGATTGCAATAATAACTAAAATTGTAATACAATTTTATATTAAAAATAAAATGATTTAATAAAAAAATACAATTAGTTTTTAATCTATTAGTGCGTCAAATGAGTAAATGCCGTAAAACTTAACTTATGTTTTATAAAGTGATAATAATTATTAATAATTTTTCTATAATATATATATTAATTTTTTGAAAAACACTATTTTAAAAATAACTTTTTATGTCTAAAGTTTTAATTACTTTTTTAAGAAGTTTTATAGAAATTATTTTAGTAAATATTGTTTGTGTAATAAATCTAGTAATCATGTAATACACACTAATATTTATTATCATTTTTTTGTTGCAATTTTCTATTTTGATAACTTATACAAACTAATTATTAAAATAATTTAATACTTAATTGTATTATTCAAATTGTATGCAATTTTATATATAAAAAATATATATTTATGTAAATATTTATTTGATATTTATTTAAATAGATAATAATTTTCAAAAGTTTTTCTATATATTTAATTATAATTATATAAATTTTAAAAAATAATAGTTTAATATAAATACTGTACATATTTTTAGTCATTAATAGACAATAAGTTAAATAGCAATTAATATCGCATTTCATTCAAACTTTGAAATCATTATATTATTAGTCATATAAAACATTTTCAACAAAAGTTATTAATCATAGAATAATTTTATATACAATAAATTGAAAACATGTTTACTATTATTATATTTTATTATTACTACTGTATTAATAATAAACCGATTAATCTATTAATTAATTTAAATCTTAATAAATAATCGAATAATTCTATTATAATTCTAATACAATAATATCGTTAATCTCTCTCTCTATTTATAGGACCTATAAATATACGAATCAAAAATGTATTGAAAATTCTATTGAATAAAAATTTGAAATTTTTTTCTATCTATGTTTTGTGTCTCTAATGCTAATACTATGATCACCAAATGCTTTAGTATTTTCATATAACTTATAATAATTAGTTATTAATTTAATTAACAACTAATATATATATACAGTATATTGTTGTTCAATAATAGTAAATATTTTATGACATTTAAAGTATCTGTCAATATATTTATTGAATCAAACATTAAAACACTTATATAGTATTGACAATAGCATTGATCATACATTTTATACTCTTTTTATAACTAAAATTATAATACAATGTTTGGTCAATAACTGAATAACTGTTTGGTCATCATATATGGTATACTGTATTGTATTTTATATGGATTTCATTGACAACTTGTAGTGTAAAGCCTTTGTGTGTAATAATCAATGCAATCGTCTGTTTGATTGTTAGCTTTGAATATCTGTCAATCATTGAACTCATTATACATTCAAATACATGGATAGCATTGATGTAACAAAAGAAACGGTAATAAGTTGTGTCAAACCGATTGTGACCATCGATTAGAGTGACCATCACTGACCCGAAACACTTAATATGATGTTCATACGGATCATCACTAACAGTGGACAAGTGGCCTACAAATGTTCACAATATAACTGTCACCAACACTTCCGCACTCGACCTCAACTTCAGCGACACTTTGATCGCCAACACGCCGTCGACGGCGGCAATCGGTTGACGGTTCAGTCATTGGCCGCCCGTTTTGCACATTTCAAGACTATCAACACATCAATGATTGGCAATATTGTCCACAAATGTCGCCAAAATGGTTGTCGCCGTCAATTTCGCACAAAACTAGAGTTGGATTTTCATCGCCGACAACACCGGATTCGACAAACAATTTTGATCGAAAAAAAGGTGACATTAAATGAAAAATATTATTCAGCCATTGCTATCAAACAGGAACCGATCGACAATCATGACAACAACAACAACAACATCGACATAAATAAACCGTTAGATTTACCGCCGTTTATAGATCTGAACAACGAGAACACTAAGTGGCCACTGGCCATTGACGATAAGTTGTCAACACCGAAACAGTACCAATCGTTAAAAAACAACAACAACGCTCTGGTCAATGGTCGCGGATATCAATCGTTTAAATTGATTAAAGATTTGGCCACAAAATGCGTGTTTCTTGGCGTCAAACAATGCGTGTGTAATATTTGCGGTCATAAGACATACGGTCCCCGAGCGTCGAGTCGTATCGCTGTCCACTTGAATGGTCGCCATTTGCGTCGGTATGTGTTTCGCTGTGATATCGACGGGTGCGACAAATCCTATTTCAATCCCAATTCATTGCGTATCCACAAAATGAATCACTTGTGCGGCTTCGGGTTTGGCAATGGCCGCAATATGGACACCGCATGTGGTAATCGCAATATTAACACCTATCGGGAGCATATTCTCATAGATGATATCAAGTTTTACCGATGCAGTTACTACAGTGATTGTCAATATACGACATCCAATCACAATACCATTAAACGACACATTCATTCGCATGTCTGTCCCTATCGGCAACAGACTGATCTCTACGGTAACAAATTGGCGCCCAATTCTATTGATATCATCGGTCAGTTTGATACTTATGGCCAAAAGATTGTAGCCGACGGTCACGAGATCTATAAATGCCGTTTCTGTGACTTTATTAGTGAACTAATTCAGGGACTCATAGCGCACATCAAATGCAGACATTTTCTAATTAACGATAAGAAACAGTCGATGAAACCGGAAGCACTCAAACTACTCAAGAGTCGTAACCAACAGAATCTGAATCTATTTTATAATAATAATAACAATAACAATGAGAAATCAAAGTTATTTATTGACAAACAGATTGATAGACAGTCTGATGAAAATGACAGTTCATATGATGGTAATAGTGTTGGCGATATCGGAAAGAAAGTAAGAGTCAAAATAGAGGATCAGTCAGAAGGAGGTGTTAGGAAATATAGCAAATGGTTGGCCTTTAAGTGCGACCACTGTTCTCAACGTTTCGATGACTTGGAAGTCATGCGAAAGCATCGCTTAACTCACAAAAGATTTTGAGACTAAAAAAAATTTCCGCTAATTATTATTAAATATTTTATTTTAATATTTACTTAAATTTCTGTTTTATCGTTGTCTTATAGAGACGAGATTTTTTTTTTGATTATTTACTTAAATTTATTACTGTTATTAAAAAATATTTATTTTTAATATTTTTTGTTTACTTTAAAACTATTTAAAAAAAAGTATCTACATAATATTTACAATTTTCAATAATTTATTAAATAGACATAAAAATGACTAAGTGTTTTTTGTATCAATAAATTAAACAAAAATAAACTTATTTTTTATATTTTTGTTTAATGTAAATATTTTATAGATGTATAACTACTGTTTACTAAGTAATAAATTTTTATAAGTTGTTTTTGCGTTTTTATTAATGTAGTTATTCAACATTTATTTCAAATGATTGTTTGAGAAAATTTTTTTTACATAACGCTATCAAACAATTGAATTTTGATAGTATTGTATAAATACTGTATATTTAGAAAAAAAATTCTCAAAACATGTCTCGTGTTTTTATTTTGTAGTATGTTTTGCAAATGCAATGCAATAATGATTTTTATATTTAAATTTTTTTCACTCAATTTACTGATTGTCTGTTTGGATAAAACACACACACAGACAGACAGACAGAGAGAGAGAGAGAGAGAGAGAGAGAGAGAGAGAGAGAGAGAGAGAGAGAGAGAGAGAGAGATAACATAGCGATGATAACTATTTGTCTTCAACTAATCAAAAAACTAAGCAAAACTTGAAATCTATATATATATATACTGTATATATATATTGCCGCACACATGGAGCTAATCTACATATGCTTATTATGTAGTATTACATTTATATTAGTTTGTTTAGTAAGAATACATTTTGAATGAATTGAAATTATGATTTAAACTAATTGACTGTATAATTGATGATAAATTTAAATTTTTTAGATAGTATTTATATATTATGCATGCTATAAACCATATAATAATTATAATATATCGCCCGTTAGTCCAAAACGAGATCCGGTAGACGATAGGACTAAGGTATCTAAAGGACAGTTAGAAAACAAAGTGGTTATCTGTCGTATGGAAGAGGGATACAATCCCAGTCCTGTCAAAGTTGATATAATTGGTGTAAAAACATCTCCAAAAACTAACAGTCCGAAGACAAACATTGATAATAGTAAATCAAAAACACTGTCACAACAAACTGTGTCAACAAATGTTAATTCAAATAATATGAAAATAATATGAATTGACTATCTTATTGTATTTAACTTTCTATATTAATAATTGATTTATAATACTAATTAAATAATTAGACTATAACTTTGTTAACATAACTACTATAAATATTTAATTTAAAGATAACTTAAATATAATTTAATAAATACTGTAAATAAATATATTACTTCCTAACTACAATATACTACAGTATAGTACTCATTAAAAAAAAACTTTAATCTATTGTAATAATAAATAAAAAAATAAACGATCAATAATTGATCCAATTTTCAAAATTTTTTTATTAAAAATGATTTTTTAAAAAATAAAAAATAATAATATTTCTCTTTTATTTATAATATATAGTGTTATCAAAAATATTTTGATATGAAATACAAAAATTCTCAAAACTCATGAGAGAGAGACCTAACTATTATATTATTCACAACATTATGTTGAATACCCCTTAAATTAATATTGATTTGCATATTTAATAATAACTCTCATATGACTCCATTAATTAATAATCAATTTTAACTATACGTATAATAATACTGTTTAATAATAATGATAATAAATTGATTTTATGCGCATAGTTTGCAATAAACAAACTATTATAAATAGCAAAGGTTAAGATTATCAATCAAAATTTATAAATAATAAAAAATATTTTTATACTTAATATTTTGTATTATACACTATATACTGTAGTATTATTATATTTTTTTGTAATAATGGTGAACACACACTAAATTATATAATAAATTGTTTTACAATAATCTAAATATAAATTATTTGTGATTTTTATTTTTATTTTCTTTGAAAATAATAATAAAAATATAATACTGCAATATCATAAATATAAATTATATCATATTATAAGTATATATTGATTTATAAGAAAAAGTTTTTTTTAATAATAACCAAAACAAAACAAAATATCGAAATTAACTGATTTTTTTTCAAAAAATAAATTTAATATTTTATGCAAATTATAAGTCCAACGAAGTTATTTGAAAAGACCTCAACAAAAAACAATATGAAAAAATAAAATAACTTTTTAAATATATTATATGCTTAACACAAATTTTGCACACTTTATAATTCATAAATTTATTTTTGTTTTTTTTTTAATATAATTATTATGCTATTTTATAAACAATTAGTTTCATTAACTGTATTGTAAAACTGAAAATTTTTTATAAATTCGTATTATTTAAAAATTATTTTAAATAATATAATTATAAATTACTATCTATAATATTTTTTCATATTTCTAGTGTCAATACCAGATCTATATTATTGAAAAAAATATTGTTAATTGCTTTATTAATTCAGTGTAACATTTAATTATATTTAGTTTTGTGTCTATCAAATTAATAATAATATTAATATTATATTGACTTATATACTATCAATATATTTTAAACCAAATAAATGCAAATAAAAAAATTTTAAATATTAAATAAATATGATAATGATATAAATATATCCAAAATATAAAATGTTAGTATAATTACATATACCTAAACAGTATAAATAAATATTTCATGTTATTTGAAATAAATTTCTATAGAATTAAAGTAAATTTTTTTATTGATTGTCACAATTCCCGGCAAAGATTATCGATCGTATCGTAAGGAAAGTCATATAATAGAGTCTAACATAAGTAGACTTTAAGACACGGCTCTTAAGCTATCAATTGTTTGTTTGCCTTAGAGTATAGACTTACGCTTTAGTTATGAAAAAGTATCGACATTTAAGACAACAAACAAACAAACACAAAGTCATACAAACTCACACACACACAGTACATATAGACTACACACTAAATTTTTGTTTTTCAATGAATATTTATTGATAACATACTTAAAATGCTTTAATATAAGACACATTGAAATTCAAATTATACGAAATACTGTATATTTCTAGAATTAAATTATTTGAGTATACTGGATAACATATAAATAATACAATTTTGAAAGATTCAATAATAATAATATCAATCAATATCAATGATATAACTATTTTATTTAAATCCACTCAAAGTTTTTTTTACTACTCCATAAATACATATACAGTTTAACTTTCAATATGATAATTACTTTTATTTGAATAAACTATAATTTACTAATCTATTACTTACTTTAATAAAATAAAATACAATATGTATTATAAAAAAAAATTCAATTAATTCATAATTTATACTTAAATATTATAATATATAAAATATTCTTATATCTTGAAAACATTATTTGTCAGACAATCTATAACATATAAGAAAACACAAGTAGTATATTATGATTATATTAATATTATATATAAATTATTAATCTCAATGTTCTGTCATAACAATAAAGACACGACAGTTATGTCATATTATTATTATTATTATTATTAGCATAACTATAATAGTAATGTAGTTAACATCATGCAGTGTAGCAAAAAAAATTATATAAATTATTAAATATTATAAATTATCATAAATATAAGAGATCAAGTATTAAGATTTTAATAATGTTGACAATGAATTGAGAGACAAATTTCAATATAATCCTGAATTAAATTAAGTTTCTTATGATAATAATAATATAAAAATAAGTAATCTCTCTTTATATTAATAAATTATTAACTGATATGAGAAAATACACTAATTAATATTTAATATATTTCATATACTTAATCATGAATTAACAATATTATCCAAGTTTCATATATATATAAATTTATATTCTGTAAAGTATATATGATATAAATTTATATTATACTACTGTATATAAGTTAAAGTATTGCATACTGTATTATATAAGTTACAAATATTAAATATAAGCATATAAATCGTGATTTTAAATATATATAAAATATAAAAAAATGACAACAACAAAAAAAACAACAAAAAATGTAATATATTTTCAATTTACAATACACATGAATACAGTATAAACTATATATTATAATATAGGCAAATGAGTTTAGCCATAAAATGTGTAATACGACTACTCCCGAAAAAAACAGTTATATACCATATCTATACAGTATTTTATTTATTTATTTTTTGCTGATACGGACATGAATTTTAAATATACAACTTTTTATGTGATATTGTATAATATAATATAAAATATTTCCATGAATTCAAGTGTATAAAAAAAAGAAAAAAGAGAGATTAGTATCACACAAACTTATGGTAACATCAAAATAAATAAAAAATATTTAAGATATATACTGTATATGATATAAGTTAAACAAAAATCTATTTAAATTTAGATTAATAAAATACAAATACACAAAAAAAACTTTAAAAATATAATCCATAGTTTAAAAAATATACTTTTTATAATAAAAAAAAATAAAATACAAATACATTGTATAATAAAAAAAACTTTTTTTTTTTGAATCCGTTTAATCACATCTTTATTTTTTGTTTTGTTTGGTTCACAAAACTGTTTTAAATTCATTAAAATCAATATTCAATTTACAATATAAATCTTTAAAGGATTAGTTGTGTAAAGCTATAAAAACTCAACACAAAATACTCGGATATTTTTTTTAATATTAGAAAATTTGTTGATTTAAATAATTTATCGATTTATTCGAATTAAACTTTTGTATTATATTTATTATATATATATATTATATTATATTATATTAACATATATATTTAAAAAACTTATTAATAAAATATATAATAAAACTTGTAAAACAACTATCGAAATACAACGATAATACTATAATAATATAAAAATTAACTTTATTTAAACATAAGATCAATTTTATTCACAATTCAACTGAAAAATATGACAATTTGAATGATTGCTTTGTTATGTTTTGAACAGTTAGATAAAAATGAGTACTAATCCTCTATATAATAATATAGTGTATACGGTATATGTTTGAAACATTGCAATTTCGGGTCAGTTTTTTGTTGTTGTTTAATGTCTTTCATTACTTCCATTGCATATATATTGTATATATACAGTATATATATCATACCTTTTTATCACTTTTACAAAACAATATTTTTTTTGACCACTAAATATCTGTTTGTGTATGTGTTTAGTACTTTCTATAATGAAAAGTCATTTAATGTACACATAAAAAGTAATGACTTTTATCGGCAAAAATTCAGGTCAAATACAAATGGCTTTTGTTTATATATATATATATATATATATAATTTATATACTGTATATACAGTACACACAAGAGATATCATATAGTATTATATTTTGTTAGAAGAAAATGTTTAGACAACAAACAAACAAAAAATAAATAACAGAAAAATAAGAGATAGTATAACATACCTGTGCTGTCTGAACGAAGACACCGACCAATTGTCGCTTTGATAGCCATCGCCAGACACTACCGATGCGTTATCAATGGTCTCGTCATTAGCGGTGGTCATCAATGGACTATCGCTAACATTATTGGGCAACTCGTCCGGACTCGAGGACGACGACGGACTGCTTATAGACATGACGTTCGGGTCGTCGCCAGACTTACCGCCAAATCCACTGTCTGTAACATCGTTTTCGTCGGGAGACTGGACACTATCGCCTGTGTTTTGTCCGCTTGTTTTATTGACGGCATTATTATCAACAACTGATATATTTATAACAATAAAATAATAATAATGTAATCAATTAAAAATATTATTACAACTAAAAAATAATTATCGTAAAGTATTTGCAATTAATTTCAAATGTTTTAGTTTTAGTTTTTTTTGTGCAAAAACCATAGATTTGAAAAATTGTTTTTTACCAACAAATGTTACTAAATTTTATTTATTTTTCTTTAATTTTATTTTATTTACATTGTGTTAAATGTAGTGTAGTGTATAAACATTTTGTTTAATGTATAGTTAGACAAAATTATTAGTTTTAGTAATTTAGTTATAGAAACGTTTTTATTTATTTTATTTATTTATTTATTTTTAATATAATGTAGCTGTAAATGTAGTGATGATATTATCATTTTCTCAAAGAGTTATTTTTTAATAATAAATAATAATATATAATAAAAAGTTTTTCTTAGCTATTATATCCCGGTTTGTTATAATAACACTAATAATTATAATAATGTGTTTGCAATCATAAAACAAAATTTAAAAAAAAATAAATACATAAACCATTTTAAAAATTATTATATTATTTTTTATTGTTTTTAATTTAATAGTTAGTTTGTATATAATAATTTTCAACAAAAATAAAAACAAATAAATGACATTTTAAAGCATCGACTAAATTATGATTATTATACGGATTTATAATTATATAAATATCAGCCTAACGTTGGTATTATTGAAATCGTGATCGACTGCCGAAACGGCAAACTTAGAAAATTAAAAAAAAAACTTTAATTTTATAATTAATTTTCATTTAATACTATTTGTGTTATTATTATTAAAAAAGTCGTGTCTTATTTTTTTTATAAAAAAAAGTCTCCAAATAATTAAATTCGAATTCATTTTTAAATAATAAATAATTTTTGTTTATAACTTTTTATTAGTTAATTCAATTATTTGTTACCAAAACCAGTGGGTGAGTGAGTGAGTGAGTAAGAGAGAGAGAGAGAGAGAGAGAGAAAAAAAGAGAGAGAGAGACCAACAATTGATGATTACAAGTATTATCCAATTGTTATTGATCAAATAATAAATTTAACATTTTTGTTTTTTAACTTTTTTTATATTAAATAAAAATAACATAACTTAATTTTTTTTGCACTAAACAATCTCAGAGCACAGATAGTTCATAGACTAACTAACTAAATATACAATGTGTGTAACCCATCATAAATTTATATCAAATACAAAATAACTACAATATACTGTATTTATTATTAACTCAATAGATATATTATTGACTAAATTGTATAATATTTAATTTATAATGTATAAAACAGTTATAAATCAAACATTTGTATGATATAATAGTATATATTGTATTTATCTGTTTTATGTAACACGAAATATCAATTTTTAAAATAAAATTTTGTAAAATAAGAAATAACTTTTGAAATAAAATATTTCTATACTGTATATTAAATAAAATATCAATTTTTATTAATAAATTGGCAGCAAATTTAAATAAAAAAAACTTTAAAATATTATGATTAATACAATAATATTGAAGATATTTTTGATGTAAATACTTAAAAAAAATATTTTACTATTTTATGCCTTCAAGAATAGTACTCAATATTTAGTATCATAACTATTACATATTATGACATGTTTTATAGCTATTTATATATATATATATATTAATATATACTGAATATACTTATATATTATATAGACATAACGAGATAAGGACATTTAAAACTTATCTTTTTTAGTTATTTTAATTGTTAAATAATTTTTAATTAATATGTTATTGATTTAATCTCTAATAAAAATTATTATTAGTATTATTATTATAATTATTAAAATAAATTTAATGAATATAATGCTAAAATTAACCCAAGATCATGAAAGGCAAATTATGTAATAGTTGGTACACGTATATAATAAAAAGTTAAAACAAATATATACTGTAAGTAAAATATGATTATTGACGGACTCGCCCGACGGCTATTTTAAAATAATGAGATTTTTTTTATTATTTAATTTAAGATTTTAATAAAACACTTTAACATATACTTCATGTACAATATATATATATATATATATGATATATTTATGCTGTATATGATATTACAACATTTTTACGACTTACTATACAATATCTTTATAAAAATTATTATTATTATTATATGCAGTCATTATATTAGATGTTATATAACAAAACATAGCTTTAACTATAAGGAAAAACATATATAATTTATGCGCTGTTAGCCTATCGTTAAGAATCCAAAGAGAAATGTGATGAAAAACACAGCGAAACAAAAAACTAATACAAAAAAAATCTTAATTTATTTCTACAATAACTTTGCAATTGATTTCGTGAATCACTTTTAATGAGTTACTCACTCATTAAGTTTAGACTAAAAAAAATCATTTTCAAAGGTTAGTTACATTTTAGTGAGTCTATACTATACACTATTACATTATGGTCTGAGTATGTTAATAACCATTGTTTTATAATTTGATTTACGGTATATATTTTTTTGGGCGCTCATGAATCACTTTTATTTTAGTTATTTGATATATTATCGATAACAGATCAACAACAACAACACTAATGGTATGACCTATTGTTAGTATGGTATGGACTATGGTTTGGGTTATGGTATGATAGTTTGGTTGCGACCGCTCTATCATTAATCGACTCTAAACCCGAATCTTTAATATCGTATATATGGTTATAACAATTGCCAGATGTAGTGTTTAAACATAACTTTTAGGTTAAGTTTAACTTTAGGCAACTCTCATATACTATAAGTTATAACTGACCAGATCTATATCTATATATATATATATATAGACTAAACTATACATAAGATATAAATGGATAAAACTTGAACCATTGAAAACACATTAAGAAGTAGATTTGGTAATAGTAGTAGTAGTAGTGTAGGCGAACCTACAATTTCAATGACTCCCTGATCTTTAATACCAAATAACACAGTTGTGGTACTGACACTAAACAGTGTCATTGTATAGTATTTTACTTATAAGTTTGACGCAATGATAAGCAAATTATAATTTTCAAGTCATTTTTAAAATCACTGCTAAACCAGTGCTTAAAATAATTACTGGTTTCACATAAAACTATTTGTTAGTAGTTTTATTTAAGCTTTTCATTCACTGCGATTGACGCCTCCTTTTTTTGCTAACTGACCCTACATTTGAACTATTTTATTGTCTAATGCTTTTATGCAATCACTAAATTTCAATGGATTTTTGTTGTTGTTAAATTTCTATCTAAATTTCTATCAAAATAAATTTAAAAAATCATTTATTAAATTAAAGGGTTTTTTTTGTTATAAAAGATTATATACACTAAAACTTCAAATATTTAATATTAATTAAATACTTTAAAAGGATTGTCGTTTTTTAGAAATAACATTTGATATCTGTTTCATTATTTTATTTTATATTTTAATATTTATTAAACTTTATATTTAATATATTGTATATATTTATATAAACTTTTTATTATAAAAAATAATAGATTTATTTAACTGGTATTTGATTATTTGAGCTCTTATTTTAGTTTTATTAAATATTAAATATATAATTATTACTGAATATTTGATTTAAAAAATCCATTTATTTTGCTTATCTATTTAAAATACTTTCATTTATTTATATTTAAATCAACAAAAACAACAAAATGAAATTAACTTTAATTGTTAGCATTATTAAAATCTGAGTTATATTTATCATTTAAAATGCAAAGTTTCACATTTGATAATACAGTATAATGTCTAAAGTATATACACTGTACAGTCATTTATTCCACAAATTTCTTTAGACATTATATTAAATTTACTGTACTATATATTTATGAAAAATACAAACATACCTTCATATAAATATTTTATAGTAAAATATATAATTTAACAAAATATTAGGTGTTTAAAAAAATCAAATAAAAATATTTAAAAAATAAATTATTAATAAATTATTGAATAAAACGCTAATTTAAATCATTTATTAAAGTTATTTCCTCAATATTTTATATAAAACAAGCATTTACTAAATGCCAACTCATTATTTAAATTATTATTATAGTTATTAACAAAATGAAACTAAAAATACCGACTCTTATTTTATTCAGTGTTTTATTTAGATTTGAAATGATATTTATTAAAATATTTATCAATATTTTATTCAAAATGATATGATAGGAATTTTCTAAGTAAAACTATTTAAATTGTTTATATATTTTATTTTATTAAAAACATTTGCTTATAATTTTCAATTATTATGATTTCCTTAAAACTATTAATAAAGTTTACTGACGTTATGTTTATTAAAAAACATAAATATTTGGTAAAACACTTGAAAAAACTTATTACATATCGTAGTTATGAATATATATTAAATTTATATATATATATATATAATAAAAAAAGCTTATGAATACCTGATTTTTTGCCGCAATTATTATTATTGTTGTTATTATTGCTATTATTATTAATGTTATTATTGTTATTATTGTTATTATTATTAATATTTTTATTTTTTGTGTTGCTTTTCAAATCGTTTAAGATCTCTATCAGAGTGAGATATAAATACAGTATAAATATTAGTGGAAAAAAACAAAAGTGTTATTTCAAGTCATAAGTTATTAAATGTGATGTAAAAGAGATTTAAAGGTCAGTTTCCAAAGGGATATACTGTATATATACTGATAATAAAGCGCTTACCGGTTCCGTCCCTTAGTAGCAATAGTGTACGGGAGCCGTCCCGGCACAGAGTCTTATAGATGAGATCCAATGGATATCCGGGTAAATATGTATGATATAGGGCTACGACAGCGTGTAATAGCTCTGACGGTGCCGTCAACTATAAAAGGCACGGATTTCAACATATTTTTGTGATTAAATTTCATGAATTGAAATGAATTTATTTTATTTTTTAGTTTATAATGATTTTTGGTGTGTTTTAATATTTTTGTTGCTATTTTGTATAAATTTTTTTAGTTTAGTGTGTATTCTACGTATACTGTTATTAAACACAAACAAAAGTATTGTACAAAAAAATAAAATAAAAAATTTCAAATTACTTTCATATGAAATGTGTGCTTAAAAATCGCTTTAAATAAATATTAAGGGATAAGTCAAAAAAAGGAGTAAAATTTTATTGTTTTGTTTGATGTGTTTTTTTCAGAAAAAAAGTATTTTATTTGTATTTATTTGTTACTCAATGAATATAAATCATACATAAAAACTCAGTACATATGTGTGTTTTGATGAGATATTAAAATAAATGAAATGCATTGCAATAAAAATAAATATAATAATAATAATACAAATAAAAAAATAATACAAAATAAAAAAATTAAATTTACAAACATCAATTTAAATATACTTAAAAAACTTAAAAATAAATAAATAAAACATATGTTTTGTAATGATATTTATGATGTTAACAGTAGTGGTACGCTATATCTAATATATCACTTAAATGATAGTCTCTTAGATTTTAATGAAAATTAGTTAATGAAAAAAATTACATAATATATGATAAATCAAAAGTTCATTTTGTAAATATTTATTTTTTTAAAACTTTTGTTTCAATGAAGTATTCAATTCTAGCAAAAATTAAAAGACAAAATAACTTTTTTTTAAATATTAAATTAATGACAATATTATCTTAAATTAAAATTAAGCAAATTATTTCTTATAATTAAATTTGAAGTTTTTTTTTGTTAATTCAACAAAAAAAAATTGAAAAATAATAATAATGAATAATCATTTTTTCATAAAAAATTTTATAACATTATATTTAAATTTTGTGAATTTTTTTTTGTTATTTATTTAGAAATTCACGTTTTTATATTATATTTTTTTTGTTGACTTTAAAATTATTTTCTAACAAACACTTGACAAAAATTACAATTTTTTTTGGATACGGAAATATTACTATGTATTTAATGCCAAAAAGTCTTAAATTTTAACACATTTATCCAATAAATTTTTAGTTTCCAACTTTTGTAGACATTTTATTTCATTTATTTTCTGTAAATCTGTTTAATGGATAAATTTTCGGAAATAGTCTACAAATTTATATTGATACTGTTATAACATTATGTTATTGCTGGATAATATAACTTAAATCTTTTTATTTATTTTTTTATACTTGCATTCACAACAAATAATAACACAAAAAAAGTTGTTATTTTTCTCCTTTTATTTCAATCCTATGATTTAAGTGTTTTCCATGAAAAATGCAATAATTTTTTATTATTTATGTATTGCTTTTTTTATATAAAAAGTATAAACTTTTTAAATGTAAGAATACAGTACATAGTATATGCATTTTTCGTGTCTAAACAGTTATCATATATATATAAATTTATATATACTGTATATACTATATATTGTTTTATATATATTTAGTGTTTTTTATGTAATGTATATAAAAATCGTGTAAAGAAACAGTTTTATCATCAATACATTTGTACTGTGATTATGAGTATTCACATGTGTTGGCCATTTCTTTAGCGGTAATAAAACATCAAACATATCACAAATAATGCCAATTGAAGACAACAACAACAGTATAGTCAGGAGATGTGTTTTACACCCATTTGTCTGATGCTGTGATAATAATGGATGTTATTATGGCTGTGATTATTATGGCCTACAAATTGCATGTCAGTGTTGGTGTGTCTGTTTGAATGGAGGGATGCCATCAAATATTTATATATATATATATATATATATATATATATATGTTTTGGTATTAAACAAAATAATCAAAAATATAATAACAATAGTAATAGTAATACTATAGTAATACCCTTTCTATGTATAACAGTTCAAATTGACAATACATGTAATCTTTTAAATATGAAAACTTTTAATATAAATTGCAACAAATATATAAAGTATATAACTTTAAAGAATATATTAATTTATATTCTATTAATTATTTATATATTCAAAAAACAAATAATATTTATAAGATTTGTACTTTTCATTTGTAAAATTTATATTTTATCCCATATTTCAAAGGATAACATAATCTTATGCTTGAATTTATGATAAAAATTGAATTTACAATAAAAAGATTAAAATGTTGTACACAAACTATAAAAGCTTAATAAAAATGCTAATAATATATATTTATAAAATTATCATAATTTATATATAACAACATTTTAGCAATGTATTTCAAAAAATAATAAATTAAGAAAATATCTAATAAATATGTACTAGTTATTTAAAATTAAAAAAATATATGAAAAATCTTACAAAATTATAAAATTATATTAATATATATTATAAATTCATTAAAAACAATATATCACTAATTAATAATTTAATATACTGTATTATAGAAATATTTTGTTATTTAGTTTATAATTACCATAAAATTTTAATATAAATTTTTCACAATAATAGTATATTATTGAATTGCTAATTATATGTATAAATTTTTATTAACTAAAAATAAAATTTATTAATTATTTTGAAAGTAAAATCTAATTTTCAATTTTTATGCAAATTTTTATGTTTTGTAAAACACTTTGATTATAACATAAATCAATTTACTCTTAACTTTAATACAAAATTTTCAGTTTATTCAATGAATACATTAAATATTATAAATTCAAAAAATGGTTTTTTAAATGAAATTTTTGAAAATTATTTTTATTTCTAATACCACACACATACATGTGCTCTGAATCTATACTTTACATATTATACAAACACACACACACACAAAGAGAGAGAGAGAGAGAGAGAGAGAGAGAGAGAGAGAGAGAGAAAGACTTAATAAATTAATATATTTTATAAAATAATTAATAATTCTTACATTCATTAATATTAGCATAACTTTTATATTAAAAAAAGAGATTTTAAAGAAATTATGTTTTCAATTGTTTTCATTATAAAAATGAATTATAAATCACAGTCTTTTAATGAGAAAAATACAGTAGTTTTTTAAATATTTAATTGAATTAAAATACTAAGTTATTTATAAAAATCATCACATAATATGTTATATTTGATTTTAATAGACTTTAGTATTAGATTATAACAAAATTAAAATTATTATATTAACTATTATGTAATATTTAAGACAAATGACAAGTCAAATGTAAATAATATATTTTAATTATTTTTAATTAAATTATTTTTATTTACAGTAAAATAATAATTCATTGTCTATGTATTCAATGCATTGTATACTAAATAAAACAGATTATTTGAATATAATGATATTAAAATCATTATTTATAATATTTTATTTAAAATGTAAATTTTGTAATTATTTATTTGTAAGCAAATATTTTTTAATTTAAAATAGATTAACTAGTAAAATAGTAAAATTAAATAACAATATTTTTAATAATCATAAATTAATTTTAATATAAAAGTTTTTAAAATTAACTTCAATGTAGACACCTGTCATCATATATTTATAATTAACTAAAATGCAAAAAACATAAAGTCGTCGCATGTATAATGAAATTACTGTTAATTACATAAATAAATCTAATTATTATTATTATTATTATTACTACCACTGTGTCAACTCATTCATTAAAATTAACGTCAAAAACATCGTTAATATATAAATTCAATTATATTAAAAACATTTTTTGGGATTGAATTTTGTAGCCAAAAAATTATGCATAATTTTTGCCTCAAAATATAATATACCATATAATTATCCAGTATTACCAAAACATTTTTAATATTACCTGCAAATGACATATTGTATTTTTATATAAAATATTATCCAAATATTTTTTTTATATAATGTTAAATCGATATTCCGGGAAATAAAAGCATTTTTTGTTTGTTTTCTAGTATTAAAAATTGTTATACATTGCTGGACACAAAATACTGTATTTAACACATAATACTGTATTACAATATTTTTGACAATATTTTTGTATATTTTTTTTGTATATTTTTTGTATATTTTTTGTATATTTTTTTGTAGACGTCTACTTCTAAGTCAGCAAAATATAATATACTGTAAATATTAATATAAATTATTGTTTTTTTAAAATCTAGCTATAATTTCATATTTTATTTATTTTTATTTGTTATAGTTGTAAATTTTGACATTTAAAAAAATATACAAAAAAAACTAAACTAAATCATATATTATAGTACTATAGTTGTATAATCAATAGAATTATTTTTTTCAATAATAATAATAATAATAGGTTAATGACAAAATATTGATAAATATTGTATAAATTACTAGACAAATAAATACAAATAAAATTTAATTATACTAATATTATTTGCTTATTAATCAATTTTTTCAGTTTACAAATATTATTGTAAATGAAATTGTATATACTATTACTTGAAAATATAATCCAATAAGTTAGTAAAAAATACTATATAATTGTATGGAATATCACTTATTATATTATATAATATCAATAAAAAAATTTGAGTGTTATATTGATTTGTTTATTGAAATCTAATGGTACCTCACATATGGCATATATAGAGTATTAGTTAATTTATTCAGTACTTTATTATTATTAGATATTTATATTTATTATATAATAACAATATTTATTTATTAACCAATAGTTTTGCTCATTTATTATTCATTTTAATATTTGAAGAAACAATAAAAAAATTAATTATCAAAATGAGTAATCGATTTACAATAATGAGACATTGTATGTATTAATTAATTATTATTATTGTATACTATAATTTTGAAAAATTAATTGATACAAAAAATAACTAATATTATATAATACAAATTTATTTATAAAAAACATAATAATTATTGATTATTAAATTTTGATATAATTACTATAATTGGTATGTATTTTTGAAAAAAGAAAATAAGTTTCA